AACTGAAGAGGTATGTCTTGCGTAGGACTGTCAGGTAGGCCTCATCTTTGATGTTACCTGAATGTAATTTTCACAGTTGTGTGTTTTGTTTTTCGATAAAAGAGGGCAATAGTGGCTGGAATGCAGGCAGATACTTTATGCTATTGCTTATATTGTTTGTACTGCTCAGAGAAAAAGAAATCATTATGAAAGTCTGAAATGATCAAGAGAAGAGAATGTCTTCTTTCAAATCTTGTTTTTTGAAAATCCATGCTTAATCCAAATCCAAGACAATAACCGCGTATTTTTGCTACTGCTGAAGAACGCGTGCGAGCAGACAAAAGTAAGTGTCTCGTCTCGGAGTGAAATCCAAAGTAATTTTTATAATGAAAATAACAAGATTTCAGGAAGCCTCAAGACCAAGGAGGCGAGCTATTTCTGAAGAGAAAGAGCCTGAATGAGGGTTGATAAGTGCTGGACATTTCCTATAAATAAGCTCAAGGACGTTTCATAGCTTTACATGCAAGACAAATAATTGCCATAACCCTGACATAATTCTCCATAAAGTTATAAGGATATACGAAAAGTAAAGGAAGTAAAAGGAAAGTATTTGTGGTTCATAAGGTTAAAAAGTATCCATAACTTTTAAAATAATGACATCATTATGAAACACTTTCTTTTCTATTGGCTAGCGCTCCAACACATTGTACGTGATAGGGTAAGGGACGGGACATCTCTAAGCGGTTGACCAATCACAACAGAGCTGGCCAGCTAACCAATCAGACCAAACTGGGCTCTGGTTTCAGGGTGAAAAGAAGTGCTGCAGCACAAGCATTCTGAGAAAAATAAAGACCTTTTGAACATTAAAGCATGGAGACATGTCACAGTAGAGACACTAAATACTAATATGAACCTAAAATGTAGCTTAATCCCCTTTAACCCCATCACAAACTTTTTGGACGGCGATTAGGATGCATTCATGGTGCCCTTAAAAAGTGATAACCAGTGAGTCAGATCGAAGTGCCAGCTAAATGAAAGTGTTTATAGATTGAGATGCTCATGGCTCCCCTCTAATTAGGTTTTTATTTCAGCCTGAGGGTGTTTCTGCATGAAAGGTTATCATCGCATATCCGTTATGTTTCTTTTATATGATGGGAAATGCAGGCATGGGAACCTTGCCATAATAACAATATGTGGCAGAGAATAAGATAGGATCACATATCATAAAGTTTACTGCAAGATAGAAAGGGTGGGGTAAGGAAGTAGATGGGGTGAAAAAAGATAACCAATAGGGATTCTCCGATCGCCAATTTTGGGGCCGATCGCCGGAATCAGCATTGGCCGAGTCGTATATTTTTATATCTTTAATAGCATATTGTGCTTATATAGGATGCTGAAGAGAAGTGGTTGGGGCTCTATGTTAGGAACTGCATGCCTCTGACCCAGGACCACATACATCGGGAGATTATTGGATGTGGATAGTTATGGCTTGTCTCTCAACATGTATTTGTTTGACGATATATATGGATACTTTATAAGAGGCCATCAGACTGCTAGCATGGCTAGATGCCTGATGGTAGTTATGATGCCAAAGCTATATTCCACCTACATTTGCGATTTCACAGTCATGCTCCCCAGAGAATGCATCATTTTAATTTTTTTAGAGCAACTTCACGATATTGGTTATTACGATTAGGATATTCACATCCTGGAGATGCTATCGATCATCTCTATGACAGACAATCAAGAGCCGATCAATGACATTGTGAGTGGCAAAAACAAGCTCGCACATGGCGTTCATGGCAATCTGGCGGTATTAAGGCGTTAGAAAAGGAACAGTAAAATAGCGGTATGCATCGTGCGTGTAGAGCAAGAAAATCCTGCAGCTTCTCACCCGCTGTGATGGGACCCGGTAGGGGCGGAGGCAAAATCACACACCTCATTAAGTGACGGCCTGTCCACACAGCGGCGTGCGTATGAGGCTTGCGCGACATGGCCGGACAGTGTCTAGAAACTCGAGCCAACCATCCGATGGCACATGAATCCCGCCTCCATTAAAAGTTTGTTTACAAACTCAGTCTGAACACACAAGCAGGCGGTTTGATTGTCGCTAGAGCGTTGTACTCGGCATATCTCAACAACAACCAATCTTGATACTGGACTGATATTGCATTCTGCAGAGGCTCACAAAGTTTGAACATGAAGGTTAGCTCCAACTTTTTGCAGCGAGCCACCGCCAGCAAAAGCATGCATCTCGCTCACTTCACACTTCCACAATGCCAGTTCGGCGAAAGTGAACGTCACCCATTCAAAGTGAATGGTGAAGCTTTCAACGCACGCCGGCTGTGTGGACGGGCGTAGAGTTAGACCTAACACACTTAGCTAATTTATCACCTCTGGAACAAGCTAAACTAAGATTATACATGTTTATTCTTACACTGTCGGGTCCCTCATCACGGATCAGTGAGGCTGCTGAGATAGCTAGACAGTCTGTTCAGGGAGAGAGAGAGGGAGAGAGGAAAGAGAGAGCGCTTCCGCTCATTTCTCCCGTGTTATTCTCCAAAAAGTGAATGTAAACTTGATAAATGACTTCATTTGAATGTAATAATTAGTTGGTTGTTGTTTTGAGGAAGCGGCGCAGTGAATGAGCGCCCATTAACTGAGTTTTAAAGCATAACTTGAAAGGTCCCCATAGGCCTCCGCCGCACTCGATCGGATTGGGCGATGGTATCGGCCAATGCTGATTCCGGCGATCGGCCCCAAAATTGGCGATCGGAGAATCCCTATTGGTTATCTTTTTTCACCCCATCTACTTCCTTACCCCACCCTTTCTATCTTGCAGTAAACTTTATGATATGTGATCCTATCTTATTCTCTGCCACATATTGTTATTATGGCAAGGTTCCCATGCCTGCATTTCCCATCATATAAAAGAAACATAACGGATATGCGATGATAACCTTTCATGCAGAAACACCCTCAGGCTGAAATAAAAACCTAATTAGAGGGGAGCCATGAGCATCTCAATCTATAAACACTTTCATTTAGCTGGCACTTCGATCTGACTCACTGGTTATCACTTTTTAAGGGCACCATGAATGCATCCTAATCGCCGTCCAAAAAGTTTGTGATGGGGTTAAAGGGGATTAAGCTACATTTTAGGTTCATATTAGTATTTAGTGTCTCTACTGTGACATGTCTCCATGCTTTAATGTTCAAAAGGTCTTTATTTTTCTCAGAATGCTTGTGCTGCAGCACTTCTTTTCACCCTGAAACCAGAGCCCAGTTTGGTCTGATTGGTTAGCTGGCCAGCTCTGTTGTGATTGGTCAACCGCTTAGAGATGTCCCGTCCCTTACCCTATCACGTACAATGTGTTGGAGCGCTAGCCAATAGAAAAGAAAGTGTTTCATAATGATGTCATTATTTTAAAAGTTATGGATACTTTTTAACCTTATGAACCACAAATACTTTCCTTTTACTTCCTTTACTTTTCGTATATCCTTATAACTTTATGGAGAATTATGTCAGGGTTATGGCAATTATTTGTCTTGCATGTAAAGCTATGAAACGTCCTTGAGCTTATTTATAGGAAATGTCCAGCACTTATCAACCCTCATTCAGGCTCTTTCTCTTCAGAAATAGCTCGCCTCCTTGGTCTTGAGGCTTCCTGAAATCTTGTTATTTTCATTATAAAAATTACTTTGGATTTCACTCCGAGACGAGACACTTACTTTTGTCTGCTCGCACGCGTTTCAG